GGATGAGAAAAAGTCATTAAATGGCCTCTCCTAGGGACGCGGGTGGCGCTGTGGGTAAAACCTCAGTGCCTAGGACTTGCCGATCGTATGGTCAGTGGTTTGAATCCCCGTGGCGGGGTGAGCTTCCGCCGTTCGGTCCCAGCTCCTGCCCACCTAGCAGTTCGAAAGCACTCTTAAGTGCAAGTAGATAAATAGGGACCGCTTTATAGCGGGAAGGTAAACGGCGTTTCCGTGTGCTGCGCTGGTGCTGGCTCGCCAGCTGCAGCTTCGTCATGCTGGCCACGTGACCCGGAAGTGTCTTCGGACGGTGCCGGCTCATGGCCTCTAGAGCGAGATGAGCACGCAACCCTAGAGTCGGACACGACTGGCCCGTACGGGCAGGGGTACATTTACCTTTACCTAGGGATTGAGGGTTGTACATGTTGCACAAGGCTGAACAAAAATAGCCTCTCAAAATTCTCCACCCTGTCTGTGGGTGACATATGGGAGGCATTCCACACCATATTTTGGAGAGCTGAAATTGTCCAACATTTCGTGAGGAATTTGAATGGGAGAGTGGAAGCAAAAATTTGTCAGAAGAGGCTATTCTGGGAGAGTTTGACTTGACTCTAATTTTGAGCTGGCAATTTTCCATCCTTGAGAATTTGGCCATTCAAAATCTCATCCAATTACAGTTCTGAGTAGACACTCACTGGGCCCTCCCCTCTCCATCACACTCCTGAAGACCCAGAACCCCTGGGTATTGAAGGTCTGAAGCAGGGAACCTGCTATATGTGCATAGACTTTTCTCACAACTTAGACCCCGTAGCAGTGCCCCAAATGACAAGGGGAGCCTACACACCTACAGTAGGGTCCCCTCTTCAGACCTTCAGCCTATGAGGTAGATGGTGGTGGGACTATGCTGGTGGGAGTGTGATAGAGGGGCCATTGGGTGCAGCCCCACCTTCCCAGTATTTGCAATTGTAATAATGTGGCCCATAATGCCTGAGGAGAGCCCATTTAGTATAGTTAATTCTATCCGTGTTTTTTTTCTTGTTGTTGTTCATGGGTTACGTTTACATTTTTTAAATGTTAGCTGGATTAATTTTTTTAAAAAGGCGAACAACTTTGCTTCTGCTGCTCTGCCTGGTATTAAATTTGAATAAAAACAACCTCAAAATGTAATAGGGGCTTAAAAATAACTCAGGACAAAGAAAGGACAAATAGCAATTAAAGCCATTTCACCTCCAGTGCTCTGCGTAAGTAAATAATAAAGGTTGCATCTAATAGAGTGAAGCAAAGGCAGAGAGGTCTGTTTGTACCATTCCACGTAATGGGAAATCAGTCTTTTTCTCAGACTGATTGCCCAAATAACATGCTGCCATTAAAAATGAACTGCAAAAACAAAACACACAAGCTTTTATGAAAATGTACTTAAGAGATTTGTGGCTATATCGGGCAAAGCACGCAATGCTATAAAGGTGCGCTTCAACCAAGGCACAGAGACAGATATATAATTAATTTAAAAGGCAGCTTAAATTGTGCCTGCCTCATTATGTGCCTGCCTCTGCCCAATAACATAAATTCTATGTTTTTTTGCAGTCAAGGAGAAGGATGATCTGAATATGTTATTGCTTCACAAAGCAACTGTTGACAATGCATATTCTCCACCTTTTCCATAAAGAGTGTTTGCCATTGTGTTTACTGATGATAAAACTTTGGGATCCCAAGGAAATTTTAATAGCATGGAAACAGTTTCTCCAGGAGAGCAGGCATGGAAAGGTTATGTGGAAATTAAATGATAAACTTCTGAAAAATGAATAAACATCTTGCTTCTCTTTCAATTGCTTTGTCTTAACATTTGAACAATTTGGATATTCAAGCAAAAAATTCATTTTTAGTCTGGGGAGTGCTGCAGAAACACATGAAGCCCTCTCTCCTTCTCTGAGGTAGCTTCCAGTTGTTACAAGGGTCTGGATGGATATTGTGTATGTCTATTGCTCACAGGACACCCACCACCCACCTCCTAAAGAGGGACAGGATCTTTGCCCCAGATGCAACAGACACTTTTCTAAGTGTGCCTGAGCGACCCAAGCAAAATAACACAAACCAAGATTTGGTTTATTGTAATTAAAAATAAAAACATATAAATCACACAATGCAACGTTTTTACTATGCACAGGCATATATAAAATGGCAGATGCATTTGATTCTAGTTCTAACACACCTATTCTAAGCTCAATAATTTAAGATTCTTGGATGCTAGGAGAAGGAAAATGGGAGGCTTGGGAGTATGACATGTGCCATACAAATTCCCAGAACATAGATTCTTAAGTTACACCTTTTTCTGACTCATATTGAGGAACTCTTTGCCACTGGGTAGATGCAAATGTGTGGAAGAGCTCTTAACCAGAAGCAGCCAGAAGCAGGAGTGGAGCGTATCATGCCTGCAAGGTTCTCTCTTTCTCTCTCTCAGTTTCAAACTGAGCGTCATTTAAAGCGCCATGGCTTTAAATGGAATGAATGGTGTATTTGTGACAGGTGCAGTGAAGCTTAAAATAGTTAATTAACATTTGAAGCTAACTACTTTCATATACTTTCCTCTCTAATAGTGGTGTATAAGTGAGGAAGGGTTTTTTAGTGATAGCAAATGAAAGGTGATCCACGGTAAGGCCATTTTCCTTACTTTTCTGGGAAAGTAGCGAGGGGGCTGAGCTTTTATCTTCCTACCCCTGGGCAGATGTGTTGCCCACCTTTCAGCTGTCTTAACACCCTTTGGGGAGGGGGGATTGATCTAATATATAATTGGCAGAAATTCACCTCTAGCCAGGGAAACATTTAGACAATGTGACTAGTTATGAATCCTTCTGGGCCTGCATTTTGAGGTCCTTCCATTGGAGTTGTGAATTTACCATTCCCCTGTTGTTCCACAGCATTTTAAGCCAGGAGCAGTAACTGGCATCCCACATAATTGGATCCTATTAAGCTGGATGGTATGATTGTGCATGGTACTCAGGGCTGTCTTAAGCATATGTGGCACTGGGGTGCAAAGATCCGCCCGGTGCCCCTCTCCCCAGGTTGCCCAGTCCCAGGCACGCAGGAGGGCAGAGCCAGCCAGACGGCCACCTCAGCGTCTCGCTGGCTCAGTCGATCCCGAACTCGTGGCACAGAGCCGCCTGCAGCAGAAGAGCCTGCCGCGGCACTCTGACCAATGGGTGGGCTATTCCTCGGACTCAACTCTTGGGCCCTGGACTCTCAGCCTGGCGCCCCTGAGAGCCCGGCGCCCGGGTGCCCTGCACCCCTAGCACCTATGGGTAAGTCAGCCCTGATGGTACTGCTCCTTTGCAACCTCTTGCCTACATACAAACCACACACAAAGGAGCAGTGACCGGGACCGTGCAGAATTAGACTCTCCTCCTACCAGCTGGAAAGCAGGAAGATCCAATCCTGCATGGTGTGAAACAGCACTTGCACTACATAGGAATGATTTCTCTGTTCAGCAGCTGTTGACTGGCAGCATTGTTCCTGCATGGCAGGGAGTCAGGAAGGAAGCCTTCCTGGGCTTAGCTTCTCCTGAGAAGATGCAACCTCAGGTCAGGTAGGTCTTGACCTTTTTGTGCACATTTTACACATTGCTTGCTTCTCCTTGGATCACTCTGGACTCAACTTTCAACAGTCTGTGACTGTACGCAACTCATCCCATACCTAAGTCCAATTTGAATAGGTTCCAATTTGGCTCAGGCCTCAGCTGAATCTGATACATAGCCCTCACATATCTGATCCTTTCTTTGGTCATTACTCTCAAACATCCTTCAAATGATAGTTTTCAGAGTGCAAGTAAAGTTTTTTTTATAGTATATTATTTTAAATTATAATTGTAACAACAAATATTGCCTGTAATGTCTTTTTCACTGTCTGGTGTGCAGAATGCCCTGTTTTTAAAATCTTGTTCATCCTCAAAAGAATACTTTACAGTAGTTTTGGGTCAAGGTAGTGCTTTGTCTGAAGCTTCCCAGTAAGATTTATGCATAGGCAGCTATTTCCTTTCTATGGCCAACATTCTCAACATTCATTTCCAATCATTTGTTTCGTAAAAAAAGAAATTTTCAGCACTAGATTCATCATGGGTATTATGCCTTCTTCTAAACACCAGGAACTAATATGAAGGTCACCAGACTATCATTTATTCATATTGAAATGAAAAAGAGAAACTCATTAACAAAGTTCACAATAGTTTGTTCTTGGTTGCTCAAAATGGAAAAGAAGCGATCACAATCAATTATCTTTGCCCCATCAGCCTGAAAATGCCGTGTGCCATGTGAGGTTTCTGTTTAAGAGACATGAGTCCCAAAGCCCTTTGTTGCATGAAACCTGATGGTTCTATGGTTCTTTGGATCCTAGCCAATGTGTTTAATTGTGTCAGCTATCCCTGCAAGCCATTTAATTTGGAATAGTTCCAGTAGCCTTTATAACACCTGCATATCAAAATTGTATTAGTAGTTTTTGTAGCACACAGTATTTTTTTCTTAGGGTACTTCCAGACTCATTGTTCTCTCACAGTAAGCAGCATATTTCCACATTTCAGCAGGCTCATGCACATATCTTCTCTCATGTCAATTGCTGCTCATTTTTATGAGACAATGAGTGGGAATTCCTCATTTAAACAACTAATATAGAAACACAGTGCATTCCTAATCTGGAATTTATGTAGAGTTGCCATATTTCAAAAAGTAAAAACCAGGGGAAAGTTGAGCTTTTCCCCCCCAAAAAACAATTTTTCAATTGACTTGCCTAAAATCGAGGACAAAGTGGTGCCTTTCAGAAATTCCCTCTGGATGTCAATTCCACCTTTGGAAACCTAGTAATGTCTGGGAAAATCCAGACGTATGGCGGCCCTAGTTTGCTCTCTACCACAAAAATAAGTTTCAGTGCTGCACTGGAAACGGTCATAAAACAGATACTTTGCATTTTTGCCTACATTTATTTTGTAACACATTATTCTTTTACAAACTAGCAATGTGGCCCTGTCTTCTTTTTGTCATTAAAACAGTTCAGTAACTTTTCTGTCTCTGAGAAGGATCCCAAGCAACTTGCTTGCTCTTCATCATGCAGCTTAGCCTCTGCTGCTACTGGCTCCATCACTGACAGAAAAGCTGTGTTCTCAGGTTACACATTCCTGCTGAGAGAGATCTGCAGGTTTTCAGGATAAGACATCCATTAGCCTAAAGACTGAAATTGAAACATCCAACCTTTTCTGCAGTATTTAATGAAACCTCCTGTGTATAATGCAAATTTCTCTTTGCAAATGCAAACCTTTGCATAAGTTGTTTTTCTTTTACTTCAGTGCACATAAACATTTCACTTTATGCATATTAAACTTACATCTTTAACATCTATTCCATAGTTAACATTAAAATGTATGTCCAGATACTCAGTGGTAGTCAACTAATGTTTACTCAGAGCAGACCCATTGAAATTTTTGGACCTATTAGTTGTGGCCATTCATTTCAATAGATGTACTTTAAGTAACGGTTTCTTGAATGGCAACCACTCTCTCTACGAACACATTTAATGTTACCTTGGAAAGTCTACAACTAATAGCTGGTTCACACATTTTCCCCCTACCCCCTGTGTATTCTATCATTTCTAAAGTGTAATAAATCTGTTTCTTCTGGCATGAGTAACATGGATTCAGAACCAATGGATTCACTTTGTGTAGAAAACTGTTCTGGGTAGTGGACTTCAGTCAAGGGATGGTGTGCATAAGCACCTAATTTTCATCTCTGATTTGAACATGAGCAGCAATAGCAGCTTGTGGGGTGGGGTAGAGCTGTAGAGGCAACCTTTTGACACTGACAACGCTGGAGCAGGGCAGTGGTGAGGTCAGAGCTCAGCAGTTTTACCAACAGGTCTGCTGTCACCAATCTGTTACTTCCACCAACACACCGTTGTTGCCCTTGCCTCACTGCCACCCTGCTACAGTCCTGCCCAGCTAATCATCAGTGACGCCAATGTCAAGAGGGTGGCTCTATAGTTGCCCCACTACACATCCCACTACTGGTGAGCACTCCTTTCCAACCTGGCAGACATTATTATTCCAGTAATTTGAGGGATGGAGCTCTGCCAAAACCCTCTTTTATGGGCTTCAGGAAGCAAAGCTTAGCAATCACTGGATGTGTAGCTTATGGCTACTAGTATACTGCTTATGGGGACGCGGGTGGTGCTGTGGGTTAAACCACAGAGCCTAGGACTTGCCGATCGGAAGATCGGCGGTTCGAATCCCCGCGACGGGGTGAGCTCCCGTTGCTCGGTCCCTGCTCCCGCCAACCTAGCAGCTTGAAAGCACATCAAAGTGCAAGTAGATAAATAGGTACCGCTCTGGTGGGAAGGTAAATGGCGTTTCTGTGCGCTGCTCTGGTTCACCAGAAGTGGCTTAGTCATGCTGGCCACATGACCCGGAAGCTGTACGCCGGCTCCCTCAGCCAATAAAGTGACATGAGCGCCGCAACCCCAGAGTCGGTCACGACTGGACCTAATGGTCAGGGGTCCCTTTACCTTTATACTGCTTATGATATCCAGGATTGGGATCCCCATGCCTCTGGATATTAACCACTGAGGAACATGGAGCAGAAGAGTGCTACTGCATCCATGTTTCATTTGTGAGCTTCTCAGAAGCATCTGGTTGTGTAAACAGGATGCTTAACTAGACAGGCCTTTGTCCTGATTCTTCAGGACTTATGTTCTTAAGTTAGATAGCTTATTGTAAGGAAATGTAGCAGGCAGAGAGAGGGGGAAGAAAGCAAGAAAACATTCTTCAAAATTTTAGTAAGTTTCATAATTAGAAGTATAAAGAAAACTTATCGGTTTCCAAAGAGGTTCATTATTATTGTTATTGTTACATTTTGCAGCAAAGTACGATGTATGAAAAAGCTTATGTGAAACAAGATCTGGAGAAAAAATGCATCAGAGTGTTTTAAACAAGAAAACATCAAATAAAATCAATACGGGGGATTATTAGAACACTGTACAAGTGAGTCTGAGTCATGGCAATTATTTTGATGTTTGCCACTTATTTTATTGAGCAACCTAGTTGTCACTTCTGGCTTACCCCAAAGAAACCCAACTCAGTGGCCAAACAGTCATTAAAAGCTTACCTGCTGTGTTTCTAGACAACAAAAAGTGGTTTTCCTGGATGAAGTTACACCTGAAGCTTTAAAAGGATGTTCTGTAAATAAGATCTGCCTGGTTCTGATTCTCTGATCTTCATTACAGTTGAACAGCACATGCTTAGGGTAAAACAAGACTGTCCCCCATTATGTATTCTTGAAACAGCTTGCCTAGAATCAACAGCACAGGGGACTGACATTTCATTACTGATGAAAGGAGTAAGTGTTCATGCATTACCGCTGATTTGAACAGTCAGCTCCTAATTCACTGCTCTTCCATCGATGGATCTCAGAGGGGGGCAAAAACTAAAATCTATCTGAACTAAGTCCAAGTAAATTATATTTCTAATTGTAATGATTTCTGAACATATACATGTACAGAGATAGCTTTCTGAAATTCTTTACATGCACAGTAGCACACATGCAGTTAACTGATTAAATGTGACAGGTAAGCCTGGAATCCACTAATACAGTTACTTTACCAATTTACACTAATTTACTGATGATGTTTTTCCCCCTAAACTAAATTAATGGAGACTCTGGGCTACTAACCTTGACATCACTCACAATCAAATTAACTTTGATTCTGAGACGATCATGAACTGTATGCATTCCCAAATTTTCAGTGTTGCATCACACTTGCAAAACATTAAATTATCTATATTGTGGAAAGTGCTTGTGCTTACTTATTTATGCATGGAATTCAGAGAGTTGCAGAATTATAGAATCATGGAGGAGACATGAACCTGAACTTGCTTCTCCATCCATGGTGGCATCTAGGAACATCTAGCTTGCCATTGCTAAAAAGCCTAAGCATGATTTCAATGGGTTGTTTCAGAATGTTTCAGATTTTTGTGTGTTTGTAAATCTAAACCTATCATGTCATCAAGTATGTCCTAGTTCTCATATTTTGTGAATGTAAAAAAATAGGGCCCCTGCAAATATCCATGGATTGAAAATTCCAAAGCTACACATTAAAATAAAAATAAAAATGCAGAAGGGTATCTGAGATATGTGGAACGTTCAACAGTATTCTTTTAAGCGAGGAAAAAAATAGAGTTGGTGTATCAGGTTGTGTATAGCATTGACATTTTTCTTCTAAAACCCATGACTTTATATATTTTTATCATGGCACATGCTTCTGCATGGGAAAGATTATGAGTTTTTAATTCATCTGTTTCAAACCTAATGTGAATATGTTTCTTCCATTATGGCTCATTTGGTTTAGGATGTGCTTCCTAAAAGGAAATCAAAGAATATAAGAAGGGCCTGATGGATTATGATCTCACCATGGCCAACCAGATGCCTATGAAAAGGCAGCAAGCAGGAGCTGAGTACAAACATACTCTCCCCTCCTGTGGTTTCCAGCAACCGGCATTTTGAAGCATAGCTGCTGTGACTAGTAGCCATTGATGTCCCAAGTGCTGACCAAGCAAAATGGACATACCTTTTACCTTATGAGTCAGCCCAAAACCATTTATCTGGAGAAATAAATATAAGCAGAAAATGACTAAGCAAAAGGTGAAGAAGTTGCACTCTATGAGAGGGTTTAATATTTGAAGTATTTATTTGAAATACATCTATTTCTTGGTACTCCTGTCTCTTGTTCTGGTTTCTTAAATCAAATATTTGCAATGGCTGAAACAGTTATACTCTGTGTTTGTGAATGCAATCCTGTAAGGCACTGGAGTGTATTTATAGATTCACCTTCCCCCTCTGAAATACTGTATGTCTATATGAAATAGCTATCTCCCATTATCCTTACTTTTGTGTGGTTTGCATGTGACAATTACTACATTTCACAGTTCTCCAGAGAGGAGAGTTTTTAATAATGTTGTTTGAAGCTCCTTTGAGACTGCATTCTTCTTTGCTATTTCCCCCTAGAAAGATAACTGTTTCACTTTATTATATTTAAAGGTGGTTGTAGCTGATTTTGATTTTTTTTATATAACTATTCCTCTATTATATGCATTGTTTCTGCAGTGCTGTAAATCTGGAAGATTAGATTATAGAGATAATTGCTGGCAGTTTGAATGGGGGTAAAGAGAGAGGTTGAACTCTTCTTACATGTGTTAGGAACTATAATGTGTATTCTTTGTAAAGGATCTGATCAGCACTTGCACCATAAATATTTTACAGGATGGAGATGGACTTCCAAACAGCCTCCCACAATGGCTGCTATTTGTGTCTGTAGTCAGGAGCCAGGAGACCAAATGAGGAAGACTTCCCCTCTGAGGGATTCCAACATCTGGCTGTTTTGAAAGCCCTCTACGGGATTCCAACAACTGGCTTGTTTGCCAAACATTTCTAGTGTTCCTCATTTCTAGGCATTTCTAGTTCCTCAAGGATTTATGTATCCAGTGATTCAACAAAAGAGACAGCTGGAACATCTGATCACTGAAGAAACAATTATAAACACATTTTCTCCCCTAGTTCCTTCTTAGTGAAGCAAGCCAGAAAGCACATCATTAAGAACCTGGCTGAGGAAGCCCCCAGTTAGTGAGAGACCAACATTCTGATTATCTGTTTCACCATATTTATTGTAAATTACCTCAAAAACAGTTAGCAGGTAAGATAACAATATTTTACATAAGTAATATCTGTTGATCTGCATCTAGCAATGTCTAGAACTATATATTTCTCCAATATTAGCGTCAGTTTGCAATGTTAATAACTATCTTTTTCCTATATTAGCATCAGCTACTTTTAAACCCATTTTAAGTGAAAGTTGAATGGACCTGTTGTGCTCTTTCCTTTGCTTCCTTTCTTTCAATATATGTCAATATATTGACATATCTATATATCACCTATATTGTGTTTTTATGTATGTGTATCTCTATATCTATCTGTCTATCTGTCTATCTATCTATCTATCATCTATCTATCACCTACCTACACACACACACACACACACACACACACACACATTCCAGTACTGCTGTTCTTGCAAATGTTATGTAGATTTAAAAAACAACAACTCACATTTCACTTGATTTGCTCTGCAGATGTATTATCACTGCACCAGTCTTCCGTTGGATTAAATGGGGGAAATGCACACAGCTCACCACTCAGGGCTGGCTGCAACTCAGTTTTGTGAAAAGCATTTCTCCAATGTTTTTCCTATCCTCCTATTGTAAATGAAGTGCTCCTTAGTCTTACAGTTATGCCAAATGAAAGTTATTTTTTTATTATTATGATTTGCATTTCTGATACATTTCAATATCAGCAGAGCATAAACAGAAATAATACAAAAATAATAGGAAAAACAATCTCTGAAATAATATCGGATAAAATTTTGAAATAACATAAAAGAATAGAAAACAAAATAAATAAATAAATAAAATTTCGTGACTTCCCATTCTCTCCTTCCATAGTTCCTTTTATCTTCTCTTTTTTTCGCAAGCTGTTCTAGTCTACATTATTAAAAAATCCAGGAGAAAACAATGCCTCCATCTGGAGACCAGAAGGGACACCTGCTATGCCAATGTATTGCCAGAGACTTCCCAAGTCCTCCCATGCTACACATGATTTGGCAACATGCAGAAAGCCTTTTAGCTACTAATGGGCCATCCTGTGGGGCACCTGAAGCATAAGTAATCAAGCTTCTGTTACTAATCTGAAACTACAACACTAATGCCAGAAAGAGTATTAAGAAATCTCTGAGTTTTCCTAATATTATTTCTGGCATGGGAGTTTGAAATTTGAAAAGCTGATGTTTGATGGTGTTTTTTCTTTCTTTCAGGGGCGGGGTTATCTTAGAAACTTGCTTCGGCTCTTTGGTTGTTGAACTCCTTGGTTCTGTGTAATAAACCATATGCACATTAAAACTGATGGAGTGAAATTTTACAGCAACTCAGTATAAACCCAAGGGGTGGGAAACATCTGGCTCATGGGCCAATCATGACCCACCAGAGAGTTCAGTTTGGCCCATGAGACCATTTTCTCCAAACCATACCCACCTGCCCATCAACTGACATCACTGGTGACATCAGCTGATGGGCGGGAGGACAGAATTTAATCCTGCATGGGCTGTGCACCCTGTTCTGAGCAGCGGAAAGGATTGCATAGCCATGGCAGAAGAAGCTAATCTTCACTTATCAGCTGAGAGGCAGAGGTTAAAGCCCTTTGCTCTTTGAAGCTAAAGTGGCATTAAATGCGGAGTAGAGGGGCCTCAGAGAGAGGTTTGGCAGAGAGTGTCATAATGATGCCATGTGACTAACAGGTGGATAGCTCTTCCTAGTCAAATTTGGCCCATGAGGCTGATCCTGATAAGGATCTAGGATACGGTACAAAAAAGTTCCCCCACCCCTTATGCAAGCCAGTAGTGTTCATGTGTCATTCAAATGTTGATACTGATATCAACTTGGTATCAATTTATTATCCAACTAAACAGTTCATCCAGCAAAGGAAGTTTTAGTTGCCCAAGGGAATTCCATCTCTGCTATCCATGAGCCCACGTGTGACCCCTAAATCTGTTTCAGGGGTCTCCCCAACCCTTTGGAGCAGATTTATGAGCTGCCCAGGTGATGCACATGGAGCTGAGAGGACAAGGAAGTTCTACTGCACAATTACAACTACTTGTCCTAGTGAAAATGTTTAGATTGATAGTGCCCTATGTAAGTATAATTAATTCAAAAAGTTTGTTACAGGAAGGACTGTAGCTGTCAGGTGTGAAGAGGGCCCCTTCACAGATATAGTAATTTAGAGAAACTGAATAGGGATAGGGCACTCTCTTAGGCTTTTTCCTTTTATTTCCTCCCCTCTCACCTCAAAGTTTTCCTCAATTTTCTGCTACCACCTCTTGTTGTGAGTGTTGTTATTTTGGCTACATAATGAGAACTGAGGTCACAAGGAGAATTGAGATCACTGTTGATGTATTTGCAGTAGGTGTGCCTTGTGAGACTTGGCACTTAAACTGCTTAAAGGTTTTATTTACAGTTAAGCGGTATTCAGATTTTGTTAAATAAATAAATCCGTACTAATGAAACAGGCCCCCAAAGCCTGCATCATATCAGAATATTAATTCTATCTGCCTGTCACTTCATTGAAAATATGACTTTGGGGAACAGTATAACAATGATGGATGAGGTCTCAATAACACAAAGACCAGTAAATACATAGAGTGAAGTCTCATGGATTTTCCCATCTCAGAGATTCAATCCCTGAGAAAGAATGATTGAGCAAGGACCGCTAAAAGCCGCTTTCACTGATACATTATGTTGTTCCAGCCACATTATGACCCTTATCATATGTGCCCCTTCAAGGATGTTTGTGCCTTTCTCCTGCTGTTGGTGTATATGTGAGACAGAAATGCAGTTTAAAGAAATGCATGTTGTTCTATAATAAATTGAGGACCATGAAGGAAGGTAGATTTACTCCCATCAAATTTCAATTGTCCTCTGATTTCTGTTCCAGCAGTGATCAGAAAGTGTAGTAGCTTAGAAAGTGTAGGTTGTTTTTTTCTTTCAGGGGCGGGGAGATACATAGATGATGGTAGGGACCAACTCATTTATTTCAGACTTACATGAGCGAAGAAGAAATTAATTGAATATTCAGCAGTTAACAGTATCTCACTCATTTAGCCCCTGTGGGATCTTTTGGCCAGAGGTGGATGAACTTACTTGAAGAAAATCTTTGCAAATGTCTCCTGAGTCCTACACCATCTGATCACTTGCCAATCTGAGGCCCTTTCTGACATTCCCTTTGCAGTGTCAGAACTGTAGTTGTGCAGTTCCACTGCCTACACTACTTCCGTAATAGTAAATAAAGAAAAGAAAAAAGAAACACGTAAGTGAATGCAATGACAATGTTGAACCCTTGCTATCACCTGGGACTCCAATAGCAATAAAGAATCCAGGAGTATTTCTGGGCAGCCCACCTTCTCCTTTACATGGAGTGTAACCCTATCTAAAGGCAGGTAGAACAGTCTACACTACATCAAACCCCATCCCTCAGGTACCCCTTGTTGTAATTCATAGGCTGATAACATTTCTTAAAATCATAAACATCCAGTGTCTTGTTTTGTGTGCTGTATGCCTACTGAGGTTATGTATCATGAATATCCCAAGGCCAGTAATTTCAGGCTATGTCATTGAGAAACCATGATAAACTGTCATTTGTCATCCTTTTAAGCACCACTGGGGATAGTGGCTCAAGCAGGATTGATAACTGTATTTATATAGGTCTATTCAAATCTCAATTAATCCTTATGACACTTAGCATTCATTCAGTTATTGAAAGTGAATGGGTTTAATTTCTCTGTGGTAAAAAAGAATAAGAAGATAGACTTGCATTGAGATATATTGATTGGTTGTCATCAGTTTTAAGATGTGCATCTTTTAATCTAGCCAACATTTGACATCATTACCAGAAGAGGTTGATGTTTATAATGATTATATAGCATTAGCATGTGTCCTTTATCTGTCACTTAAACTGTTCATAAAATAGACCGTCTGAGAGGCAGGCAGCTTAAGCAACATACTGTTGGATTTGGGGTGAAAGTCTCATATGCTGAATTCTGACAGGCTGACTCAAAATTATGCAGCACAGTCTGTACACATGATGGGATCCCTGTGCAGAGCATAATGAACCACTAAGACCTGCTGGTCTGTTTAGTGTCAAGCACACTGCAGTGTGGCCAGCCATTATATACATTTGACTGTGAAAAGGACCTCCCAAATGCAGTAACAACTATATTTGGACGTCATAAATCAGTGCAGTTGTTAATGAGACAGGATCTCTTGGAAAAAGAAGGTCACAGGGTTCCCAACCTCAGTAGAGTATTTAATAACCTCTCTGATGGCAGCTGTCCAATCCATGTCAGCTAGGTTGAGGAGGAGGAAAGAGGAATATGGTGAGCAGGCAGACTTTCACACATGTAGCTATGATGCAGTATATATGATGCATTAAATTGTTATGATAAAGTTGACTTGTTACATAAATTCAAGATGCCAATCTTGTGGAACTCTGTTTTCTCATAAGTCAGGAACAGTGAAATTCAAAATTCCAACTGTATAATCTTTAACATCTTAAAATATGAACATGGGTAGGTGTACAGCCAACCAGACTGAAGGTTTATGTTAGGAAAAATAGCTTTGGAAGGAGACTCAAGCATTATTAAATAGATAAGGCAGATTTGAAGCCACTTCAGCTCTAGGTAAGAAATGAGAAATTTTGAGGCCAATTGAACATTAAATTTGCCAAATGTATCACAATTATAGAAACATCTGTGGTAGATAACAAAGGAAAGATATTCTCTGAACATGAATTAATGTATACTGAATAGTCTTTAAAAGTTCTCATTTCTTGTACTAATATATGCATTTGAAATATCCAGTGGCTAAACATCAAACATATATTTTAGACTGTTTGGCTCCAAAATACCCTGAAAACAGGGGTAAGGCAAGAAGTAAGAGTAATGAAAGAATTGAGAATGCACCCTTCTCTCTGTGTTGTCTGTTAAGTGGGCAGAGGAGACATTTACGATGGCAATAAGAAATGAATGCTTCCAACAAACAGCTACATGGCTGAGCCTTTAATGACTTCGCTGTTGTGAAGGAACCTTAAAAAGTGCCTCAGAAGAGTAGCGATGAATGCTACATTTTGACACAAACTGCTGTCTGCATTTTTTCCCACAGAGTTGAAGACATTAGAGTTGAATTTTCAGTTTCAAATATTTTTGAAGCAAAGACTGTTCCCGGGGGATGCACAAACCGTTCCCAAACTCTTCGTCTTCCATCTTTTGTTGTTGTTTTATGCTTTCCTACAATCAATGTTTTCCGAATATGCTACTGTTTTGACACCATTATTCATTTTTTAAAAAGAAAATAGACTTTCTTTTCCCTTCACTTTGTCATCCCAGCTACTTAAAAATCATTAGCCCTTGTCATGTGCTCTACACCAAAGGGGCCGCTGGGATACAAGGAGACTGCAAATGTGTGTTTAGCCCTGCACCCAAGGTCATTCAGCTCCTTCAGTGTTAAGGGATACATTTTCTAGGACTAAACCTTTTCTATCTGCTCTGTGACCCGGAGTCTCTCCCTACCCCCACCCCGTTCTGAATTGTACAGGTAGCCCTACATGGATAGAAGAGCCTTCCTTTTTCACAAGTTATCACTCCGTATCTGAAAGAAGCAAGGGTGCCAACTTGAATAAAATATTGTGTGGGCCCAGGAACACAGTATAATACTACAACTCCATTCTGGTGGGTATTTAATGATTGCTCGTGTCACAGGTTAGCCCTCATTTGTAGGTGAAAAGTCTTTATGTTGGAACTTGAGAGCCGCTGTCCCCCTCCAAAAAAGCAAGAGTGCCTCCAATTCCCCCAAAGCTATAAAGGTTAAACCCAGTTAGGATGGCCTTTTGAAAAGCATACCAGAACAAAACAGGGGTTGTTCTTTCAATAGTCAGCCTTTTTATTATTAAAAATATTCTCTTCTCTGTTAATAAAACCAGATGGCTCAGAAAGGTCAAAAGTAAATAAGAATGGATAAAAGCTGATAGTCCAGTAAGAAAGGATGGATAAAAGTCCATGGTCCATACAAATATAATGAATTGATTCATTTCCCTTCTCTTAGTTCCCAACCTAGTATTAAAACCAGCAGACAGAGCACTTGGCACGTATGTCTGCGTCTCTCATCCCTCAGACACATAGTTTTAAACTCTTCTTGATCTTAAAGACCTTGGGTTTATTTGGATACTGTATCTCGTCAGGAACTCTAGCATGTCAAGAAGATAGGCAGAGTTGGTTATTTCAACACTGGCTCCAATATAAAAACTGTCTCTCAGAACATATCCTTGGAGTGCAGATAGAGCAGTTTGTTGTTCATCAAATTTGCTTCACTGGCCGTTATGCTCATTTGCCTTCAGTAGCTGTAAAGCTCTGCTGGATGAAGTACAATTGCCTCTGGTCTATTTTTTTGAGAACTCGGCAACATATTTAAGTTTTTTCCCCCTCTGGACAACAGGGGAGCTGGTTGGCTGTGTGCATGAGACCACAGTTAATTCTTGGATCTAGCTTGGATACGATTTCTGGAAAAGCCAGGCTAGCTTACCTGGTGAGGTAATAGCCCTCTAAGTATGACCCATTAAAGTAATAGAGGAAGTGGTTCTGTGCCATATGGAAAATGGGTAGTAGTTTGAAAGACTCACTGGTAGTTAGAAAGACCAAGGCAAGGTTGGGAGTTGAGTTGTGTAAGGTAGAAGCTAGAAGCAAGGCTGCAGGCTGGGTAGCTGGGAGACAGAACTATGCCTGATTTCTGCTGGAATCCAAAACAGTGGCTATCAGAGAAGCAAGACTCTCTTGGGGTGTTAATTCTGTAGGCTTAGGTTGTATATATGTGTAATAAACCATATATCATAAAGACATCACAGTCTCTGCTGTCCCCCATTCTGAGGTAGCTGAACCCCAGATAAGTGTCTGGAAGCCCTGGAATCTCACACCATTTGGAGATTGGAGTGATGTGCAACAATAATTAGCCAAATCAAAATATAACCCAGGGAAGGAAATTCCATAAAGCAGGAGGAAACAACTGTCTGCCATTTCCTGGACATGTTTACAAGTGCCACCTGTGGCCCCACAGCAAAGTATTAGAAGGAAGTATTCTTCTGTGCTATGAAAACCTGGGTCGTGTGAACCTGACGTGCACCATGAGCCTACTGATTCAGCATTCACCCCAGTGTGCATGCCAGGTCTAAAGGATAATCATAATATAATAATAATTTATTATTTATACCTCACCCATCTGGCTGGGTTTCCCCAGCCACTCTGGGCAGCTCCCAACTGAATATTAAAAACACAATACAGCAGTAAACATTTAAAATTTCCCTAAACAAGGCTGCCTTCAGATGTCTTTTAAAAGTAAGATCTCAAATCTTGGCAGCATAGGGTGACCCAAGAGAGCCTTTAACCTAATAATGCACCAGATATTTACCCCACCAAATGTTAAATTTCTCATTCCTATCCATACTAAAATCCAGTTAAACCAATCAAAAGGCCACTCCGAACATAGGACTCCCAGCAGTATGGAGTAGGCAAAGAAGTGCCAAGGCCAATCAGGAGCTCCCCACAAAATTCTTAATCCACCCCCAAACAGGCAACTAGAAAATGTCATAATGCCGAAGGAGGATAGATGGCACAAGGAGAGGAGAGGTATGACTGACTGAGGGTGGAGCCAGCTCATTGTGGCATGTGAATCTTCCTCGACTCCTCCAAAGGGCCAAACTATCCTGAACCTTCTTCCTGGGTAAGCTGGGGTGCAGCAAATACACTCCCACTCAAGGATGAGAGTAGCATTCCTTAAGGTGCCAATTGGGGCATCAGTCAGAGATAATCTGTGGTCTGTTGCATTCATTAGTGATTTAGTTTGCCTTCTGGTTTACTCCTAACTTTCTCCTCACATTCACTTATTTATCTGAATCTAGTGGTTCAACAGAGGGGTTAGTTCAAACTTAATTATATGATATGGAATCTACATTTTGCTAAATATGGTATCAATTAGGTTCTCAAGCACTGTTAATATCACACCATTATTCAAATAAAATTTTCCTCAGCAGGTATAGAGTTTAAATATTGTTTTCATAATTTAAGAGGTAGACAAGGCTGGTTTTTTTAATTATTATAGAGATTAAGGTACTACAAATTATGAACTATTCATTAAAATGTGAAACTTAAATATGTATTGAAGAGAAGGAACAAATTCACAAAATGCCTTTTGTTGAAGAAGGAACAGCATATCAGGCAGCAGTGATTTGTAGGGTATGGTTAGAAACATGTAGATAAATTATAATTTATCTGATAATTTACTGATAATTATCAGTAACAGAAGAACTTATCAGTTGGGATGGATCTGTTTATTTCTTATCTATATCAGTTTCACAAATATTCATCCATAACCCTGTTCCATCCCATTTTGGTATTAATCAAATATCATGATGATGAAAATGTATAAAAATCAATATTTCATATAAATATAAATACCTATTTTGAACGTTTTTCCCCCTACAAAACATACATTTATAAATGTATTTTGCTTTGAAAGTAACATTTTGAAATGCCCTTTGAGATATTTTTGGAAAGGTAAGAACTGCATGGTAAAATTCAGTGAAATATGAAACCTGAAGGATAATCATGTTTCGATCCACATGTGTTTGTGAGATGCTGATTGTGACAAGCAGGATCTGGCTCTCCCCTGCTGGTGACCCGGCAACTATCAGCCAATCAGGAGAGTGTGTGTGGAATTTAAGTTAGATGCTGACAGTTTAATGGTGAGATAGTTACTTGTTGTTTGGGTGAGCAAATGAAGTCTTTGACTGTCTGAGTGGGCTCAAATAGGGATTATCTGTCATTGGGATGGATAATGATTTGGTCTCAGTTAGAGATTGGGGTTGTCTGTGGACAGATAAGGTTCAGATTATATGTGTGTAGTTGCCTAGACCTGGCAAAATGGTTTTGATTCTCTGAGGGGAAGTTAAATCCTAAAAGGGGGTGATGGGTTTTACTGGTTAGAAGACTAATAGTTATTTTAGGCGGGTAAAGCCTACCTGAGACTTCGTTCAGTAAAGACTGCCATTTAAAGATTTTCTGGAAATACATTTTGTATAATAAGTTTTCTTCCTCACATGTGAAACCATCGAGTGTAAAACCTTCATGGAGGGTAATTAAATATACATACAGTTTTGTCCCAGAAGTGTGTCCTCATATTTTAACCTCTGGGTGGGAAGTGAGTGGATACAAAGCAGCCTTACCAGAAATATATATTGCTGATTATTAAACACCTGGACCACATCTACCAGTTTCTCCTTGATTTTTGACTCAATTTCTGAGGTCACAATTGAGCAAAGGTGTACTGACAATTGGGCCTTTTTTCCTGTAAGGAGTAAATTATTGTGGGTATTTTGCACTTGTCAATTTTTAAATGAAAACCTGCTTCTTACACACACATGGAAGAGAGTTCCAGTGAGAAAGAAAGAAAGAAAGAAAGAAAGAGAAAGAAAGAAAGAAAAGTTTTCCTATGCTTTGCCTACAGAGAGCAAAATGAAGTGGTTCATTTGATTCTAAGGGAAGGATGTGGCATGTGTCGTGTTGAGGAATGAACTGCTAACAGTTCATAGGAATAATTTCCTTAATTTAAACTCTTTTTAAAAAAAGAACTCATGTCAAACTAAAACTTTCTTTTTGCCAGAAATGATGAGTTCCCTCTCCATAGAAAAATCACAAATAGGATTCAGCTGCAGCTAGACTCAGTAGGGAGCCGCCACTTTCATTCTGTGCCCTAGAGAGTTGAAAGAACTCCGAAATCACGTCGCTGCAGGCAAATGTAGAGATGGGCTATTTATTTTACAAAAATAATAAGCAGTAGGTTCTCTTTTTTATTTTTTTAAAAGGATGACTTTCCAATGAACCTGGAGGCAAAGCATGTGCACACTATTTAATTCTGCTTCCTCTTTAAATTACTCTGAATTTGTTCAGCCCATGTTCCATCAGTAAGTCACCTGTTGCTTCATGGTGGGAAAGTTAGGGAACATTAGTAATGGTGCTGGCTCAGGGCAATGGGCCATCAGCATTTTATTTCTAGCTGTGCTTAGGTCTAAACATTTCCTGTGTTTTAGTAACAGAGCCGTGGCCTGAGTGTTGAGTAATAAAGTACTGCATTCTTTTGCTTAAAATTCCTTAGGAAGATGTACTATAACTTGACACTACTGCATAATATATACTGAAATTGAACCTATGTAAAAGCTTAAGTAAGACTTTAAGATTCAAACTAGGGAATACACAACCTGATTGGGTAACCTAGAAGTTATGTCTGTTATTTTTGCTCTTTATATTATTTAAATATACTAGTGAGAGTTCAACAGGGCTGTAACCACTCATACTGTTATCTGAAATCCTCTGGAGAGCCAGAGGATTCAGTTACTGAGTCTATTGGAGTATCCTGGTGTGATCAGTTTGCCAGAAACCCATGGTATATGCATATTTAACATCTGTGCACGTTTAGTAAGCTGAAAGGGAGAATGGCTAAAGGGCAGAAAACTGCCTGCGTGCTACCAATTCTTCACAGTAGGTTATAATGCGATGACCTTCTCTAAGAAGTACACTTACCGCTTAGCGATTTTAACCATCATTTAATGTGAAAAGGCTATAATCAGACAAGTGCCATGGTCAGAAGCCTGTAAAGCAGACTATGCATTCAGAAATAACCTCTGATTGGTCCTTGGCTACTGCAGAAGAGGCATGTTTGAAATGCTGACCCCCTGAAGAGCAATTTTAATGGATTGAGACAACTTTGTCTTTCATTTCTGTTAATGTATGTGAAGCACAGGGCAGGAATCTTACCCTCATTCCAGAGAAAGTCTTCAAACTCTGACCTGCCTAATTTATCTATTTATTTTAAAGAGCTACTGCCTGCCTTTCATCAAATGGGGTGGGAGTTTTCTTTTTTTAAAAAAAAAGACACCCTGAAATTAGTTCTAATGCTTCCATAGAAGGTTGATTTCAAAAAGCTTAAGGAAAACTGGGTGAGATCCCATAGTTAGTAATACTCAAAGAAAAGGGAGTCCAAGGTGAATGGGAGTTTCTTAAAGGTGATATATTGAAGGCACAATTTCAGACAACTCCAACAAGAAATAAAAGTAGGAAGTACCTAAGGAAACCATTGTGGATGCATAAGGAGCTTACAGATGAGCCGAGATGTACTGTACGAATGGCATGTATAAGAAATGGAAGAAAGGATAAATCACAAATGAAGAGTATATACAGTAAAAAACAACAACCCACTGGGACCTAATTTGAATAATAGAGTGCTTGGTATCTGGTGGGCGGGGCTTGTGTGTGGCCCCTCCCTTCAGTGTGTGTTCCATTATGTTCAGTTAAGAATGTCAGTTAAGAGGGACCAACTCTTGTTTCTTGCCTCAGACTTGCCTCATGTTGTAGTATTTAGTTTCTCTCATCATCTTATTTTGTTACAGTTTTCTTTATTATTAAAGCTTAGTATACATTTACGTGAGCCAAGGAAAGGTGTGGAATATCCTAAACTTGGGTGAGTGAGGGGATATTCCCAGTTTGCCAGGAGAATTGGTTTTGTTAATCACTCCCCACTTCCACAATGTGTAAAAGAACCCAACAGTTCATCCTGGAAAAAAGTGACAAGTAGGGTGCCATAGGGTCCTGTCCTGAATCTGTTGTTTTTCAATGTATTTATAAACGACTTAGATGATGGAACTGAGGGGATGCTTATCAAATTTACTTTAACAGATTGGAGAACTGGGCCAAAACCAACAACATGAATTTCAGTAGGGGCAAATGCAAGGTTCTGCACTTAGGCAGGAAGAACCAACTGCACAAATATAAGATGGGGAATCCTGGCTTGCTAATAGTGCACGTGAAAAGGATTTAGGGCTCTTAGTAGACCACAAGCTGAACATGAGTCAAGAAAGTGATTCAGCAATGTGGGGGTGGAAATATAATGCTCTTCTAAGTTGCAATAACAGTAATGTCCCAATCAAGGGAAATCATAGTACAGTTCTGCTCTATTCTGCCTTGGTCAGACCACACCTGGAATACTGTGTCCTATTCTTGGCACCACAAGAAGTATATTGACAAGCTGGAATGTATGCAGAGGAGAGCAGTCCAGATGATCAAGGGTTGAGAAACCAAGCCGCCTTAGGATCTTTGGAGGTTTTAAAGCAGACATTGGATGGTCACCTGTCATGGATGCTTTAGTTGAGATTCCTGCATTGCAAAGAGTTGGACTAGATTACCCTAGAGGTACCTTCCAACTCTAAATCCTATGATTCTTCTTCTTCTTCTTCTTCTTCTTCATCATCATCATCATCATCATCATCATCAAAGTTGTTTGTGTCTGTTCTCTGTACATATCCTCACCAAATTTGTCACAATGGTTCCTGAGACCGAGGAACAGATTTTTGTGTATGTTTGGATATCATCTGATGCTATTTTGAATCAAGATGGCTGGCTAAATTTTTCAAAACTGCCTTGATTTTAATCATTGGTCTCAAAATTGCACTGATCTTTCTTTCTTTCTTTCTTTCTTTCTTTCTTTCTTTCTTTCTTTCTTTCTTTCTATCCCCTAACAATGCCAGACACTTTCTGTTAGTATTCACATAAAGCAGATCTAAAATATCTAGATAACTACAAACTGACTGGCCACAAATAATTATTCCCTTTTTCCATCTGAAATTTAGAGTCTGCACAAAAAGATGCATTTAAAAAATACACTCAGTCACATTGTAAACAGGTGAATAAGCATATAGTACTTGTTCCTTGAAAAATAAATTTGATGTTTTATATTCCCAGAAATAAACTGGACTAAAAATAATGTTTGTGTGGTATGTTACATGACAGGTTTGTAAAGGAGAAATTTCAAGTCTCTGCAGTCTACGATCCCTGGTTAGCACTAGCAGAGCGCTTTGGGATGCAGTCCCAATATCAATGGCTTACAGGAACTCCTGGAAACCTCTCAAAGCAGCTTCAGTGATGGCAATTAGGCTGTGACCCAGCTCCTTCATCTTCAGTTGTTAGAGGGCTGTACGAATAACATGACCCAAAACTTTATAGTAACACTTTCATCTGCATTCTGGAGCATTTAATTAAATTTTCAATTAATCATTATTTGAATGTTGGGCCTCCTGCTGCTGCAATATATTTGATTAAGAATTAGGCCATGTGTAAGCCTACATTAGTAAACCCAAATTAAGCTTTTCATAAAAGCTAATTTGCCAATCACTGCTTTCAGACCAACAAAACACTAGAGGGATTTTTATTTTATTTCTTACAGATTACGTGTCTCTATTTAGGACCTTTCTTCCATTTTGAATATCTATAATTCTGTTAAATTTATATTATATTGCTGCAGCTTTTCTGAAAAGTACCATTCATTTTCAAATGATAGGAGGCTAACCTATTAATGCTATACAATTATTGAGTTTCTGTATCACTGGATGTGGTCAGTGGCTATTTCATTGTGTACTCACCCCGTAAGAGACCAATAGTGCAGTAAGATTATTTTAGACACTGGATTTAAGGGTCTTACATGAGGTGTTTGTGTGCAGGAGGGAAGGGGGCCTGGGAGGTAATTTACTTCACTTCTGAAGAAGTGTGCATGCACATGAAAGCTTATACCCAGAACAAACTTAATTGGTCTCTAAGGTGCTACTGGACAATTTTTTATTTTTATATATATTCCAAATGTGGTAAGTCCTGTGTTTGTGGACCTTCATGCTCATTTAGTTTAGTTTAATGTGGCCCTGGCCTTTTGTCCGAAAAGCTCTGCCTTGATGACACCACAAGGTAACAGCACTTGGAAGTACTCACAAATGCCATCTTGCCAATGTGTGCTCATTAAGGCTGATGGGCAACCACAGCAGAAAATATGGTACCAGCTGATGCACTATCACACTTGCTCTATTTTGTGACAGCTTTCAATGAGAAATCAATCAAGGCTAAGATACTGGAAAAAACCAGAGTGTCTTGGAATTCTAAACTATTACAATGATCGAACTCTTAATCCTGCGTACAATACTGGTAACCCTTGCTCACTTATTTTAACCAATTCTGATTATAATAAGCACAGAAAACATTAAACATATTACAAAGCAGAAAGATAAAAAGACGACTAAGGATCTTGATTCACATTCTCCTTTTATGCTTAAAATAAAGTGATATCCCTTTGTGTTTAAATTAAGTGTATTGTTGCCATAGTAGGTGAGAATACATGCCCATTAGTTGATGAATAATGGTATTATATGACATATAAATAAAAAACATATTAGCTCCTTTAAAAAAGAATCACAGAATGGCACTAAGTCCTCTGGAGAATTCATATTGGAACGTTCCTGGAACATGTGACCTGATTTGTTTTTTTGATACATCTTTTCGGAGATACATTTATTGCTCTAGATTCCTCTCTCTAAAGAAGTGAAGTGGATGACCACTAGGGAGAGGTCATTTTTGGTGGGGGCACTCTAGTTGTACTATGACTTCTTCAGGGGGGCTCAACTAGCACATATGATAAGGTCTTTTCAGTGCCACATGAAAACCATTTTAGTCTTTACAAATTATGCTTCAGTGTATTTTAGTCTATGGAACAAATGGCTTTCAGCTGGGTTTTATCATTGTAAAACAAATTTATGCTGCTTGTGTTGACTTTATGCATATAATTGGTAGGCTTATTGCTGCAATGTGTCTGGTTTTTGTTTCTTTTAAAAAAGTGAACTTCCCAGAGACTGTGGTTAATGGGCAGACTCGAAATGTAAAAAATAGGATAAAATAATTGATTGATTCTCCCACAAGATGCTCAGTTTCTGAGCTTTACTGAAGATTATCAGCCACTTAAAAGAGGGAATTTCTGAAGGAGTAGTTGCTTATATGTCATAAGTCTTAAAATGAAACAGACACTACCACTTGCATGGAAAGTAAAATATCATGTATAGTATAAACAAGATAAACAAGATGAGCTTGAGCTCTTGGTACAGCAAACTAAATATGACATAATAGGCATCACTGAAACCTGGTGGGATAAGTCCCACGATTGGAATGTAATAATGGAGGGATACAACCTATTTCAGAGAAACAGACCAGACAAGAAAGGAGGAGGAGTGGCGTTATATGTCAGGGATGTGTATACCTGTGAAGAGATCCAAGATTTAGAACCTCAAAGCCAAAGTGAGAGCATTTGGGTCAAAATTAAGGAGAATAACAGTGACCTCATTGTGGGAGTTTACTATAGATCCCCAAGCCAAACGGGGGACATAGATGATGCCTTCCTGGAACAGATGGCCAAGCATGCAAAAGGAAGGGAGATAGTAGTAATGGGGGACTTCAATTACCCGGATATTTGTTGGATGTCAAACTCAGCCAAGAGCATAAGATCAAACAGATTCCTCACTGGCCTTGCAGACAACTTCATTGTCCAGAAAGTGGGAGAAGCAACAAGAGGAACAGCCATTTTAGATCTGGTCCTAACCAATGTTGATGACCTGGTTAGTGGGGTAGAAGTGGAAGGATCATTGGGCGCGAGTGATCATGCTCTTCTGAAGTTTACTATACAGCCGAAACGAGCGGCCAAGCATACTAGGACTCAATTTCTTGACTTTAAGAAAGCCGACTTCATAAAACTTAGGGAAGTGCTGGGTGAGATCCCATGGACAGTAATACTAAAAGGAAAGGGAGTTCATGATAGCTGGGAGTTTGTTAAGAGGGATAGTAAAAGCACAACGTCAGGCAATACCAATGAGACGGAAACATGGAAGGTGCCTAAAGAAGCCAGGGTGGCTATCTAAAGAACTTTTAACTGAGTTAAGATTAAAAAAGGATGTGTACAAAAAATGGAAAAGGGGGAAAACCACCAAAGAGGAATTCAAACAAATAGCCACCACATGTAGACACAAAGTCAGAAAAGCTAAAGCACAGAATGAACTCAGGCTTGCTAGAGAGGTTAAAAGCAACAAAAAAGGCTTTTATGGGTATGTTCGTAGCAAAAGGAAGAACAAAGAAACAGTGGGGTCACTCAGAGGAGAAGATGGTGAAATGCAAACAGGGGACACAGAAAGGGCTGAACTCCTCAATGCCTTCTTTGCCTCAGTCTTCTCTGATAAAGAAAACAATGCCCGACCTGAAGAATTTGGAGCAAATGATTCAGCAGAGGAAACACAGCCCAGAATAACTAAGGAGATAGTGCAAGAATACTTGGCTAGTTTAGATGTATTCAAGTCTCCAGGGCCAGATGAATTGCATCCAAGAGTATTAAAAGAACTGGCAGATGTGATCTCAGAACCACTGGCAGTCATCTTTGAGAATTCCTGGAGAACAGGCGAAGTCCCGGCGGACTGGAGGAGGGCAAATGTTGTCCCTATTTTCAAAAAGGGGAGAAGAGAGGACCCAAATAATTACCGCCCAGTCAGTCTGACATCAATACCAGGGAAGATTCTGGAGCAGATCATTAAGCAAACAGTCTGTGAGCACCTAGAAAGGAATGCTGTGATCACCAATAGTCAGCATGGATTTCTGAAAAATAAGTCATGTCATACTAACCTGATCTCGTTTTTTGACAGAATTACAAGCCTGGTAGATGAAGGGAACACAGTGGATGTAGCCTACCTTGATTTCAGCAAGGCATTTGACAAGGTGCCCCATGATATTCTTGTAAAGAAGCTGGTAAAATGCGGTCTTGACTATGCTACCACTCAATGGATTTGTAACTGGCTGACTGACCGAACCCAAAGGGTGCTCATCAATGGTTCCTCTTCATCCTGGAGAAGAGTGACTAGTGGGGTGCCACAGGGTTCTGTCTTGGGCCCGGTCTTATTCAACATCTTTATCAACGACTTGGATGATGGACTCAAGGGCATCCTGATCAAATTTGCAGATGACACCAAACTGGGAGGGGTGACTAACACCCCAGAGGACAGGATCACACTTCAAAATGACCTTGACAGATTAGAGAACTGGGCAAAAACAAACAAGATGAATTTTAACAGGGAGAAATGTAAAGTATTGCACTTGGGCAAAAAAATGAGAGGCACAAATACAAGATGGGGGACACCTGGCTTGAGAGCAGTACATGTGAAAAGGATCTAGGAGTCTTGGTTGACCACAAACTTGACATGAGCCAACAGTGTGACGCGGCAGCTAAAAAAGCCAATGCAATTCTGGGCTGCATCAATAGGAGTATAGCATCTAGATCAAGGGAAGTAATAGTGCCACTGTATTCTGCTCTGGTCAGACCTCACCTGGAGTACTGTGTCCAGTTCTGGGCACCACAGTTCAAGAAGGACACTGACAAACTGGAACGTGTCCAGAGGAGGGCAACCAAAATGGTCAAAGGCCTGGAAACGATGCCTTATGAGGAACGGCTAAGGGAGCTGGGCATGTTTAGCCTGGAGAAGAGGAGGTTAAGGGGTGATATGATAGCCATGTTCAAATATATAAAAGGATGTCACATAGAGGAGGGAGAAAGGTTGTTTTCTGCTGCTCCAGAGAAACAGACACGGAGCAATGGATCCAAACTACAAGAAAGAAGATTCCACCTAAACATTAGGAAGAACTTCCTGACAGTAAGAGCTGTTTGACAGTGGAATTTGCTGCCAAGGAGTGTGGTGCAGTCTCCTTCTTTGGAGGTCTTTAAGCAGAGGCTTGACAACCATATGTCAGGAGTGCTCTGATGGTGTTTCCTGCTTGGCAGGGGGTTGGACTCGGTGGCCCTTGTGGTCTCTTCCAACTCTATGATTCTATGATTCTATATCCTTTTTATTTATTTTTTAAAAGGAGGAGGAGTACTCTTCTAGTAAAAGTCTAGAAGGGATTCTGAATACATTTTAGTAAGTAGTTTTGGAGATCATTATGATTATTTTTCTCTTGGGACAAATTAAATACCAACATATGCATTCATTTTGTAGTTGTTTTGGAAGCATAGTGGTGTGAAAAATGGGCATAAAGAAAACTAGAAACTAGGAGACAGTTCATATGCTATGGCATATAACTGTGCTCACCCATGAAACATTTTTTCACCACAATACAGTTCAATGCAGATGTCCTAAGTTATTGCTTTACCATAGGATGACTACAGGTAGAGATGGGCAAATGTGACCATTTTGTGGTGCTTCAGTTTATCATATTTCCAATCTGGAATTCAGTTTCTCACATTTCCAGCTCAGTTTGTGGTGGTGGGTTTTAAGTCATCATGAAAATTCACCAGCATTTTAGTGCAATTTCTCCTAATTCAATTTTGACTAATGTACACATTAGTGTGAATTAGATAGGTTCACCTCAAAATGACAACTGAATTGAATTTCTCCTTCCTTTTCTGGCTACAGATTCCCCATCCCTGCTCTACCGCATAAATTGACTTTTTCAAGGGAGGGTGTCCACTTGCACATCACACAGAAAGAGGAAACACATCACAAAAAAGAGAACAAAAGCAGTCATGGATTTACGTATATAACATTTGCACACCCTATTTTTTATGTACTGTATAGATGTACATGTAGAAATATTGGGTGAGAGCTAGCTAAGCCATTCTCAGAGCAGACCTGTTCTGATCCACCAGCCATAAGGTGAGCTCATGGGAGTGGTTTGGTTCAGGGATACCAAAGGACGTCCCAAATGCCAGAGTGATCAGTTCTGGGGCTTTATTATAAGAAAAAGTAAACTTACAGTAAGTCAGCCTGCAAGGCCCCACTGCTGTGAAAGATGTGGGACAGACACTGCAACACTGAAAGGTCAGCCTGACTAGTCCACACTCAGGCAAATGTTTATATATTTTTAAACACAAAACATCACGTGTCTGTTTACCCAGAGTCTCCCATCACACCTGGCTGGTGAAAGCATAGGAGGCAGGCATCTATGATTTGCAGATAGCTCCCCTCTCTGCACCAAGAGCCCAGCACCCCAGGCCTCACTGATATGCTAATTGGCTTGCTTTCCTTCTGTGCTTATCTCCATGCAAGTCCAATACACCTATGAGCTCATTCCCACAACAATTAAAAAAATAATCTTGAGGTGTTCTTGACCACCAAGATGGCATTTGCAAGCCTCCAGGAACATTTCACCTTTGGTTCAACACACAGAACCAGTGCTTTTAATGGGTCTACTCTGAGTATAATGATTATTGGGTGTCACCCATTGCTGTAACTTATGTAGAAATACGGTGGTACCTCAAGTTACATACGCTTCAGGTTACATATGCTTCAGGTTAAAGACTCCGCTAACCCAGAAATAGTACTTCAGGTTAAGAACTTTGCTTCAGGATGAGAACAGAAATCGGGCTCTGGTGGCACAGCAGCAGCAGGAGGCCCCATTAGCTAAAGTGGTGCTTCAGGTTAAGAACAGTTTCAGGTTAAGTACAGACCTCTGGAAAGAATTAAGTACTTAACCTGAGGTACCACTGTATGCTACAACTGTAGGGAAAACTGTGTCTAGGTGTCCTGTGTGTCTTCTATCCTGGACATCTACAAGACCCCTGTTCTCCCTTATTATGCTTATTTAACTTCAAAATAGTCTTAAACCAGGCAGCCCTTCAAGTAGAGGACTCTCTTCTCTAAATAGTACACATGACCACCCTAACTAGGAGCCACTGTTGCTTTTATGCAGACATTCTGCCTCAGAGTGCTGGTCCACAATTCAAGTTCATAATATGATGTAGCGACAGCACACAGTATCCTCACAGGGAAGCAATTTTGGAGTTGCAAACGATGAAGTGACTTTAGTTTATAGCCTTCAAAATATACAATCTACAGTGTGTGTATTCAGCCTGCGTCAGTGCTGAGAAGGTCTTCTTTCTCTCGTTTAATTCATGAAAGTGGGTCAAGATTCCTTTTGTTTGGCGATATTTATGTTAGCAGGCAAGTGAGCAAGCAGAGTAAATTCAGATTCCATTAGTCAGATGAATCTGAGCAGTGCCACCTCAAGATAAAGTGTAAACAGGTGTAGGATAGGACTTTGTGACCTGCTCCATGAGCTGAAAAGATCACCTTCGGGGAAGATAATGCACTTCCTTGTGCTCATTTAATCCTGATCCTCTTTAGAGCTCAGGCTAACAGCCTTGTTGAATTATTACAAGCACATTCTCAGGTAGAAAAGGAATATTTTAGGAGCCAAGCTGGGATATCAAACTCCTAACAAAAGGGCTTTTTTCTTGCCTAATAGCAAACAAATAACAGTAATCAAATCTGCTGGAATCTAAAAGCACATCAGTACCATTTCTTGAAGGAAGAATAAAAGACAAAGTGGCATTCACTAAACAGAAGAGAGGCAAGTGAGAAATATCTGAGTATCTGGTCCACATTCCTGGAATCGTTTGATTGTTAATCTAGATCTGCAAAGAGATATAACTGCTGTTACCGTACATCTCCTAAGGGGTCAAAATTAGGGGTAAAGGGGGAAATAATTCAGTCAGATTTTTGCAGTGGACCAACCCAATCTTATGATCTTGAACTCTATGGTCTAGAATTGGGGACAAGAGTGCCCTGCAGAATACTATAGCACAGGTGCCAGGGTGTCAACGAGCACTCCTTCAACAATACTCAATGGACTCAACCACATAGGTAAGACTGGAACAACTGCAGTACACAGCCTCCAATACCTATCCAACACAGACAACACAGGATACCACAGGTCAGTGGTATCAAAAGCTTATGAGAGATCAAGTTAGAGTTAACAGGGTTGCACTCCCTGCCCCTCTCCTGATACAGGTAATGCAACAGGGTGACCAAGACTGATTCGGTCCTGAAACCAGATAGAAATGCTAATGCTTAAGACTGAACCTGTCTGTACACAAAGCATGTGCTCTACGATTGAGCTAAGTCCCCCCCCCACTCAGAAACTTATAACAATTACCCTCCCATTTGTTCTGCCTGTGTACTAAGGCATCTAAAGTGATCAATCTTCCTAATGAATAATGACTGTGACCTAGGAAGTATGGAAGAGCTACTTGGGATCAAGTGCTTCCCTTTGTAAACAGTTATCTATGGTTGTATAGAGGATCCTATTTTTAAATGTAAATGAAAGATGCTTATGAAATGAAATGTAAATGAAAGATGAGTTCAGCTGTTCTTGCACTTCATTCAGAAACTTGTATGTCTGTGCCTCCTTTTTTAAAAACAATGTTTGTTTGTTGGGCTTCGAATGGCTATATAATCCCAAGCAATGTGAAAAATTGTTTTTAACATTGGATGTTGATCTAAATGATTTCTTTAAAAGTGCTTGCCCTTCTAGTCTATAGGGAGAATAGCATTTTTAAAATGTACTATTAACCACACAGAATAGAAGTTCTAAAAGTATTATTGTCCATAGAGTTGAAGGATGGGAACATATTGCATCTCCAGGGAAGCCTATGAGCACAGGCATTTTGCTTTTTAGCATAAAAGACTGTTTTCTCTTGCAAGGCTGAAACATCCTTCTGTAGGTTGCTGGTTGATATCCATCACAGCAGAACACATGGCCAAGATACGGGCCAAGAGTTTTCATCTGGAAGCACTGTGACAGGTATTATTATGAATAACTAAGCTGTCTGTTCAACTCTTCAGCATCACGTTGGAAGTCAGAAGATGGCAGTCTTCACTCGTCAAAAACTCTGCAGAGCTAACAACTGTTCTTGAGGATGGAAACATAAACTATATCGGCAGCTTACTCTGTATATTTAGTGGCTGAATTTTAATTTGAAGTGTGGAAAATGTTAATTAAATTCCTTGGGCTTTGAAATAAGTAATGGCAAAATGGCTGCTAGTGTTTTACTACTTTGAACAGAACAAATAGTTGGTAGCATTATATTTGTTGCCCTCCCTTCCTATTGCAAAATAAGGACCTTGGAAGATGAGAAACTCAAGGAAGAGGCATACTGTAAGCAGAGCAGAACAACCCACTTTCAATATTTTGAAGGACAAACTAAAACCACCACCACTCCAATAATCTTGTGAAAGCCCTGTGCACACACCCCAAATCTGCTCTGGGGGGGTCATGAGAACCCCCAGAATGGCATACAGAAGAAAAATGGAGATCATTTTGTCTGGCAAGAAGAAATGCCTACACTGATGCACGTATGGTCACATCAGAACTTACTGGCAGGTACTAGAGGCACTGAGCAAGATTCATAGCTTCAGTGAATAAGGATGGACTCCCCACTTCTCACTAGAGAGCCAGTGTGGTGTAGTGGTTAAGAGCAGTAGTCTCGTAATCTGGGGAACTGGGTTCGCGCCTCCACTCCTCCACATGCAGCTGCTGGGTGACCTTGGGCTAGTGACTCTTCTTTGAAGTCTCTCAGCCCCACTCACCTCACAGAGTGTTTGTTGTGGGGGAGGAAGGGAAAGGAGAATGTTAGCCGCTTTGAGACTCCTTAAAGGGAGTGAAAGGCGGGATATCAAATCCAAACTCCTCTTCTTCTTCTTCTTCTTCTTCTTCTTCTTCTTCTTCTTCTTCTTCTGCTATTTCAAGGCTCAGGCAGCTCAAATAATATTTAGAGAAAACAAGAATGATTTTTTTAATCAAACATGCAGAAGCATGAATGCATAATAATCCTAATGCTGAATATGGATGCACCTCTGATGGCCACTGTCCTGTTTCTTTCTTATTGACCTTGTCCAAATGACCTACAGCAAAAATCTCTTTTTAATTTATTTTGGCTGAAGCCTATATATGGCCACAATCCAGTGATGTAAACTCCACTTCTGCATCAACTTGGATGTAGATAAAGGTCATCTTCCATCTCTCCGTCTCTCAAACTCACGCACTTTTAAAAATCCAGCATGACAGAAACTGTTTCACTGTGAAATGCTGGAGGCTCGCCCGGCGCCTTTGTTGTATATCTTTAGGCAAAACATTCCCCTTCCCACAGGCCTTTGGCTAATTCCACAATCTATGCCCTTTTAGACTCTGTGATGGTGGTGGTAGTTATTTTTTTGGTTGTTGTTATGGTATATATTTTTGTGCTTTTACATTGTAAACTGCCCACTGATCCTCTGATGAAGGGTGTTATAAAATTCAATAAATGGATAAAAATTAACCCTATTTGCAAAGTGGCTGGTTTGTCATGTTCCTGTGAAAGAAGCTGCGTTGACATTAAGCCACACCCACTTTGACATATGGCCCTAGAGGGTTGGCCGTGAGTCAGTTCGGCACTTGGACTAAAATAGTTTAGCCACTCCTGCACAAATGGAAAGAACAGTGCAACCTGTTTGTGCCTGTCAATACTGAAATAAGCATTTTAAAAGGAAACCCCCCACAAGCATTTGACATTTATTAATATTCTCTTTCTCTTTTAATATTTTCTTTCATGTTTCACATATTTATAACATTTTATACACCACAGCTCTCAGCAGAAAACACTTTCAAATGCAGAAAGTCATTGAATTTTGCTGTGTCTTTTTACAGTTGCATTATTAATGTAATTTCCTTTAACTTCTGAAGGCTGCAATCCTATCTCCTCATACTTGGGAGTATCCATTGAGTAGGCATGCATAGGATTACTCAGTTAATATACAATGGGATTTGTGATTGCTTGAGGGGGTAAGGATGAGGCTTTGCTAAGTTTCCAGCTAGCTATTCTGAGGTTGCCTCTAACTTGATTCCATCAGTGTTGGGCTCTGAAATGTCAGTCGTGCCTTGTGCAATGCTAAAATTTTGTGGCCCTTGTCTCTCTCGCTCTGTTGTGGTTACCCTATGCAGTGCAGTGCCCGGTATGGCCAAACCAATTGTGCTACCCTAAAACCGTCTCTGATTCCATGCAGAGCAGATAACATGACAAAATTGACTATAGGGTATGAGACAGAAGAACCCAGCGAGGTGGCAAATTCAATATGTGCCCATTTACAAATGCGAGCTTTATTATTTACAGAGTAGTTAGTTAGACAAACTAAGTACATTGGCAATATAAAATGCTTTTAAGAAGGTTGTTATATATAGCCATTGGGACTTCTATGGAAAAAACTTCAAAAAACATTGCTTAGATAACTTAAATATTTCTTTAGAAATGATATCCACAATTCCATGGAAAAATGTTTGGCACCATTATGCTATCACTTATTTGTATTCATTTTGCAGCTCTTTTATTAATGTCTAGTGACATAGTCGATAGAGAAATTTTATGCTACTGTTCTCTGGTTAAAAGGAAATGTTCGTTTTTTCCTTTAAAAAACTACTTTATTTTTTTTCATGTTATTCATCTTCTGCTTGTGATTTGGCTGGAATGCTAAAGTAAATGTTTAGCAGAAAGGCATAGAAATAAGGAAATTTAAATTATTTCAATTACTTAGCTCAACTGCAACCCAAACTAACCTTTATAATTATTTGAGAGGAGAGATGCAATCCCACATCAGGGGAAAAAACCCAGCAATTGCAAGAACATTGGATTTTGCATGCCAATGGATTCTTTTGAAGCAAACACTATAACATCCCAAAATAGCTGAACATGACTGTAGTGATGAAATTTTCTCATATTTAAATATGAAAGGATGAGATCCATCTCATTTCACATATAGTTTTGTTCTCTCCAGAATCATTTAGAGAAAGAAATTTGTTAATAATTTAATCTTATGGTAGTATTTTCTGCATTTCAGATGAATTATTTCTCCTCAGACCCAAGGATAGAAGAAACTGACAGTTTTGGCATTGTTGTTGACTTCCCTGATCACCATCTCCAGTTAAACTGCTTGTCATTGGTGTGGACAGCAGTTAGCCACTTGTTGGTGAGAGAGGGTTGAGAATTTTACCCACATGTAGAATTTTGGTGCTGTGCTTTGGCTGACAACTGTTGGACCTAGATTTCACTGTACGCAGGGATAACATTGGGTTGTATCCATAAGGATACAACTGCCAACCTAGCAGTTCAAAAGCACACCAGTGCAAGTAGATAAATAGGTACCGCTGCAGTGGAAAGGTAAACGGTGTTTCCGTGCACTCTGGTTTCTGTCACAGTATTCCATTGCACCAGAAGCGGTTTAGTCATGCTGGCCATGTGACCCAGAAAGCTGTCTGTGGACAAACACCAGCTCCTTCAGCCTGAAGCAAGGTGAGTTCACTGGACTTAACCGTCCAGGGGTCCTTTACCTTTTTACGTGTATCCATAACTGGGAGGTGGTGCTCACCCTACGTCCCACTGGGAAGTCACTTTACTGCCCCAGTCTTGTGTCAAACTGTGAAATGAAACCCATCCAAGCTGTGGCCATTTTAAACTCACAACCATCCTTTGTAATCATTGCTTCCACACAACTTCTGTTATGCACGGAAGTGCAATGAATTTGTATGCTAATTATGTGCCTGTTGTATGACAAAGTACTTTCTTTGTTTTTTCCTGAATCTATTGCTAATCAATAGATTCAGTGGGTTACCTTAAGTTATAGGGGCATGGTCTTCTCTCTCCACCTCCTAAACACAATTGTATTTTTTTATAAACTTCTATCTGCCTGAAGTTCCCAGTTGGTTGTATTTTTCTTAAATAAATAAATAACCACAAATTCTTTCACTTTTTACTTGTAAAGAAGGCACACCATCCTCCAGATCATTTTTTCCAGTTATATATTGTTTTTGAGATGGGGTGGCAATGAATCTCAAATGTAGCCATACCATAGATTTGTACAATTATGCTGTATGTTATCCTTTCTATTCTAGCATATTGTGTATAGAGGAAGAGGAGGAGTACTTCCGATAAGTGTACATACAATTATGCTGCATGTTTTCCTTTCTGTTCCAGAATATTATATATATGGCTGAGCATTCATGTGGCTATCAATACGTTATTCACATTAGCCCTTCTCTTTCCTCAGGGTGATGTCTGTCTAATTATTGCATCTGTAGGTATCTCTATAATACTGAGAAAGTAAAATTAAATTTTGTCCATCAGCAGCTACTGCAAATGATAATGATTGCTGCGTGCAGCAGCTGAAACTTTTCAGTTAATGGTACTCTTCAGGAGATCACACTCAAAAATAGTACCAAAAAAGCTTTAAATGGGCTCCCAATATGCTCCCAATGATAGTGCATATGAGTGGGTGGCCCCAACCTTGCTTTCAATCACCACTTCTGCATTATAAACTGCAGGAGTTTCAGGCCCCCTGCTGTATCTCCGGCTGCTAAGGTGATTCTCATTTCTGCATCTGGACACAGCAAGTGCTCTGCCTCTTGATTTTATTTTTTAAAATATTGTAAGCTTAATAGACTGGAGGGCAATTCAAAAAAGAGGCTACAGGTCAAATTCTCAGCTGGCGTAAACTGTTGTGGCATTACTGACAGAATTAAGCTCTTTGACTCTAGCTAGTATTTTAATAGACTTCAAAGGCAGATATCGAGTCACAATATTTGACAAGACTTGAAGATCTTACATCTGGAAAATTGTATTTTGATACCACTGTTTCAGACTCATGGCTATTTACACCCCCCAGTAAAATAATCTCTGACTGTGCTATGTATTGATGAAAGAAACAACTCGTATTTGATAACACACAACTTTTGATCCTTCTTAGTGCAGATTTCATGCCTGCCTCACACACAGAAAGTCTCAGAAGGGGAATGAGATTTCTGCATAGTATTCTACGACGTCTTCAAAATGTATGTGATATTTTGTACTTCAAAATACATGCCTTAAAATTCCCCTTTGTTGTGGATGCCACTGACTGATTTGTGAATTTTAAAAACTTAGAATCCAGCACATCAATTTAGGGAGGAGAGTGTACAGTCATGTAGGCTGTGATATTTATTCAGGTGGGCATGTGTGAATATTAGTACAGTTATAGTACAGTCCATATGTTCCTGTCTCCTCCCCCCTTTTTTGCATTTTTAGTCCATAAGCGATGCATGGGGTGTTAGAGGAGGGGTAGTACCTCTAGTGTTCACACATCATGCCCCTTCTGAGGTAGTTCATCCACCTGCACTCAGCTCTCACCTGTGGCTTCTAGACGTTGTCAGCAATCAGCAACAGTCACACCACAGGAATGGCTTTTACTGGCTGTTTAAACCAGGAGAGGGTAGCCAATGGGTCTCAAACCCTTAGTTAGGGACTTCTCCTGCATGTGGAGACAAGCTCTAGCAAATTGAGGGGATGAGACCAATGGTACATCTACTCAAAAAATCTTTTGAATTAGAGCTTGAACATCACTAAGTAACTTCGGCGAGATTTGGGAAGCTGCTGCTTAAAAGCATCTCACCAATTTCAGTGGCACTTTGAAGGGATACAACAGCCAAAATGGAGGTTTCTGCACATGTTGTAGAGGGAAGTGAGGGGCAGATGGGGCTCATCAACCTGGGAAAGTAGCCCATCTAGGAGAAGGAAAACTTCGTTCCTAGACCTCAGCTGCATTGCGGAATATCTTTGGGAGAAGAAAAGACTAAGGAGTAAACCCTACACAAATCCAGAGTGGAATCCCTAGGACAGTTGGATGGTGTTCTATATGCCTCCTTCCAGCAACTCCTACAGCTAAGCTGGTGCCAAACGTATTGCTCTGCTTTCCTTTGGACCACATCAGCAAGGCCAAGAGGGGGGTCTGGGCAGTCCAAGCCCTCTGTGCACACTGTCCAGGCTTGCAGTCAGTTCCATACTGCTAACATACTACTCCAGGTTTGACTTCACCCCTGGAGGCACACTCCTTTTTTCTCTTGAGACACACAGATACCAACAAGTCCATAAGCATAATTCCATTTTTTCCCCCTGAGGGACTTGAAAACATTCTAAGCCATCTCTGGTATGGGAGATGGGAACAGCCATGGAGGAAGCTGTCTGGGGAAACCAACTGACCTCAGGAGTCTATACAACCGTGAGGTAACCAGCCCTGGTAAGCAGACTTGAAAAGTTCCTATGATGAAGCCTTTCTGTAGGTTAAACTGAGCTTAATTGTCTGGCTCTCTGAGAAAATATGAGCTATTGATCCCTGATCATTGATCAACTATCAGCCAGGCATTATTTTATTTTTTAAAGTTATATACATAGTTGCCTACCAATTCCAAAGTCATGTAGATCTTGTTCCAGATCTTTATCATTTTGACATGGATGAGGCTCAGCTGGCACTCTTCAGCTCATACCGCTGTGTTAAAGGTGAGAGGGAAACATTTGCCCCATAGTTTAATCACCCATAAATAATGCTGATTAGGCCATCACAGTTGTTTGGCTGGTTGAGCACAGTAGCACACTGTGCAGCACCAAATTTAATGCTATCATGCCTCAGTTGTGCCTGCAATAGGAACACAGAGCCAAATGACTCTTTCAGATTTTAAAATGCACAGGCTGTTTTGTGTAGGGCTGTCTATGCAACAGTCTTACAGCTTGTGTGTGTGGGAGGTGCTCCTGTGGCTTTTCAACTGGGGCATCAGAAGGAATGTTTGTTTCTAGCCTAATTATAGTGACAGAAAAAGAGCTGTACACTACTTGGGCTGAAAGTGGAGCAAATTCCCCTTCATTCTTCTATAAAAGGGGGGGGGGATGAACCATTACTGGGGGGGCAGTGTACAGTTAGAAGTACCATATAGGTTATTGTGCACTTATAATGATTTGTGCTCATGATGTTATTGGGGTAGTTATTCACCTTACTTTCAGTACTGTTTGCACCCGCAGATCTTTTAGGACAGCCATACTGTTAGAAAATGCCCTGGGGTGTTGGCAGCCCCCCATTCCTCTGGGCGTCCTCTGGTGAGTGTGGTTCTGGGAAAGCTTCTCCCTTCTTTTCCAGACACCCCAGTGACACAAACCATAATGATTTTTTAAAAAAAGATTTTTATTGATACAGCAAGAAAAAAGAAAAAAACACAAATACCAAATTACACACAGGAATAACCATAGACACATAATTTTCTTAGCAAACAATAAAACATATATTGGTCTTGACACTAAAGACCCAACCTCCTGTCTATTCTCTATTTCGATTTCATATTACTTATTGCCAATACACACTTTTACCATAATTAAACTTGTTCTTAGTATATCTAATTTCTTATATCTACCTTGCAACTATTACTGAAATTCCTCAAATACTGCAACAGAATTTAAACTACTATATTTATTTTTCAGATATTCTTTGAAAACCTCCCATTTTGAAACAAATTCCTGTTTTGATTTATTCTTTATTTTTTCTGATAGACCATCTAATTTGGCATATTCTGTCAGCTTTTGGATCCAATCTTGTATAGAGGGGATTTCATTACTCTTCCATTTTGCCGTGATCAGAACTCTTGCTGCCGCCGTCGCATATAAAAAGATACCCTTCCTCTTTTGTGGAATATCCAAATCTGTTATTCCCGGGAGGTAGGCCTCTGGTTTTTTATTGAAAGAGATCTTTAGCATTTTTTGCAGTTCTGCATGGATACTCTCCCAGAATACATGTATTTTCCTACATATCCACCACATATGGTAGAAAGTTCCTGACTCTCCGCATCTCCAACAATTACTTGACACATTTTTATACATTTTTGAAAGTTTCCATGGTGTTAGATACCATCGGTGTTGCATTTTTTGAAAGTTCTCTCTAATTGTGTAACAATTTGTGAATTTCCAATTGATCTTCCATAAGTTTTCCCATTGGGCCATGGTTATTGAATGGCCAAAATCCTGGGACCACCTCACCATTGCCACTGTTACCTCCTCCTCCTTGACTGTCCATAATGATTTATGCACACTATTCTCCTGGCATTGTACAGCAATAAGCAGGAGACGCCGTAGTTCTATTCTATGTTTTATTTACAGACTTTACACAGAGAAAGCATAATGGCGACCATTCTCTTTCAGCCCCGAGAGAACCAACAGAAGTGAAAGTACATTCTAAAAGTACACGTACAGCGGAGGAGATAAGATGGTCTTCCTGTTCTCACACTCTCTCAGACGGTCATGTGAATTATACCAATCACAAAATGCAGCCTTGGGGGACTGATTTACTAACATATACTGCTTCAACCCCAATGCATATCCTGTGGCACCCTACTGGAATCCTATAACTTTTCATTGCAAAAATGTTCTTGGTGCATTGGTGTGTCTTTCTTTCATTGTGGTATTCTGCAAAAGTGTAACATTGGGGAAGCATCACACAACTAATAAGGGAAGGTGTTTTGTTTTTAAAAGTATTCTTCTCCTGTGTGAGTCAGATCCAGATAATGGGTGTGGGTGGATAAGGGGGAAATGAATAGTATTAAGGTGGAGATGGGTAAGTCATGTTAAGGGGAATTCAGAGATCCAATAAGCGTTTCCAACTCCATCATTGTCTCTCCTCCCCACCCTTGTTTCATAGAATCATAGAATCATAGAATCATAGAGTTGGAAGAGACCACAAGGGCCATCGAGTCCAACCCCCTGCCAAGCAGGAAACACCATCAGAGCACTCCTGACATATGGTTGTCAAGCCTCTGCTTAAAGACCTCCAAAGAAGGAGACTCCACCACACTCCTTGGCAGCAAATTCCACTGTCGAACAGCTCTTACTGTCAGGAAGTTCTTCCTAATGTTTAGGTGGAATCTTCTTTCTTGTAGTTTGGATCCATTGCTCCGTGTCCGCTTCTCTGGAGCAGCAGAAAACAACCTTTCTCCCTCCTCTATGTGACATCCTTTTATATATTTGAACATGGCTATCATATCACCCCTTAACCTCCTCTTCTCCAGGCTAATGTTTAATGAGATTCTTATTGGACAAGGTTATTTGAAAGCATCAAATATTCATGTGCACCATATTTAGGACAATTACATTCTAGCAGGCTAAAAACCGTGATAAATTGGCTCTAAGAATGGACATCACTGTTTATTTTATCACATGTTGATTTTTGTGAACTGGAATCCTATTTCCTGGCAGGATCTATTATGTAGTGGACTTTTAAGCATGTTAATATTTATTCTCGCAACAAGTCTGTAATATAAGGTGAAGATCCAGCAACTGGTTACTCAATGAGCTTCGTGGTTGAGCAGGTATTTGACCATCTCTCCCAGGTCAGGTTCATCATGTTATCCACAACACCATCCTAGCAATCTAAATCTTTTAAGTCCATTTTCTGCTGAGCGCAGGCCACAAAAATTATGTGTGTGGTGAGATCCCATGGGAAAGAATCATTGCTCCTAGTGTCTACCAGATAAAGTGCATCTATTTTTTACCAAAAAAGAGAGAAAGTAACCGCAGCATAATAATCAGCAGCAAGCAAAAGGCAAAACTCAGAAGCTAAGTGAAGCTATTGCAGTATTTTATATTGTGTTCTAGTTTTATCACTGTTATTATATAATAGAGTCTCTATTATTTTCTGTGTTGTTTTGAATTTAGCAATATTTCATGCTGTTCCCATGAAAGGAAGAAAGTTATATGCCATTAAAAATTTCACCAACAATTGTACGGGAAAATTGACCAATTACTGAGCTAACTCAAAACGCGCTTTTACAATTATTTTTAATGGCTTTTACCCCATCTATTTCTGGAAAGTGTCAATCAATTTCTGCAGATCTGCCTTGTATCTGTCTGGTGCATATTATTTTACATACCTTAAAACAGACACATACACACAGCACATATTTATTTTACATCTCAGGTTTCTGAGTCCATAATTGTTCTTTTTCTTACTCTAAAGATATAAACTCACCCTATTTGAAGATGAGCCATGACTTACATGAATAAATGAAAATCTCACAATGTTGCTTGACACTTTATAATGCTTAATCTGTTTGACGAAATGTCAGTGACCTTCACACGTGGCCT